CCCCAAAACCCCAAAACCCCAAAACCCCACTAAGAACACGCAAAATTGAAAGTATGAGATCAGATAAAGAATCCCTCTGTCTACTACAACTCTAAATGCATAAAGAACATGAATGCTCAAGATGGCAAAGAATCAATGCCACTAGGACTATCGGTCTCTTAGAACAATGCTCCATCTCTTCTCCTTTGCAAAGACTAATTGGCCGAATAGTTTTAAGCTAAACTACACTTTATGTCTTAAAACCCTTTAAGGCATAAACAGCTTATGCATATTCCTATCTTTGCTGGCACGTTTTGATCCTCTGGTTTAAGAAGATAGTGACATTTTTAGTAAAGTTCAAAGCTTGCCGCCCTTCCTACAGGATAACCCAAAGCCTCACCTTAAAGTCTATAAACTTTCCTGGATTCATCCTGCTGATGGTTAAAGATTTTTGAAAGTGTTCCTGGATTTTATCACTTTGGGCATTTTCAAATTTATTAGTTGAGTTTTTAAATCTAGTCAGTGAGGAACTTCTTTTAGGGAAATATCCAGAAGTTGGGAGGATTTGGTCCGGGCAGTGCTGAGTGAGATAGACAGGTCCGGCCCTGAGCTTTGCGTTTGGAATGATGGCTTTGGAAATGGAAGATTTTTTGGATTTTTTGCTATTTTTGGATTTTTATTCGAGGAATATGATTTTGGCAAGAGTTTCTTGAGAGCTATAAAGTCAATATGAGAGTTGTTATTTACATCTCTTTTCTTTGAGGTGTCGTTACTCCTGTGAGCTCTTTTTGGTGGATAGAAGATCATGTCATTATATTCATCCACATTGATTTTATTTAGGATGACATCATCTTTCATTTTCTGCTTCAGAGATATTTCTTTAAAGATATTCTCTTGCTCTTTAGAACTGTCTACAGATTCTCTACTCTCACTAATTTCTTGCATAGACAAATCTATGGTTTTCTTCTTAGGATCTTTCTCTTTAATAGAATCATTAGTGAGGAAGAGGCTTTCCTTCTTCATAATCTTATTTCCTGATGCCATTAAGATTACTCACAGCGCTATAATACCAAAACTTAATACAGTTGCTAACATTACCGGATTTAGACTAGACTTACTTATAATGCTCAGTGATTTTGGTTGGAGAAATCGAGTACAAGATTTGGTGTCTAAATGTTAGAATAGAATTACTTTAAGGAATCTTTAAGCTTCCGCTCAAGTAGCTCTATCCGATTCTTTTTGATTATTGTGTCTTTGTTAAGGAGATCTATGGATTAGGCGAAGAGTACCGTGAGGAGCATATTTTTCTTGGTAGCTAGGGAGATGGACTGTTTTAGGCCGTAAGGATGAGTATAGAGAGTTTGGTGTAGCGTGAGAAGTTGGTGGGTTTTTGGATAGATGTTTTTGCATTAGTTTGAGTTGAATTTTGTCGGTTTGGATCAGGTTGGATCTATGGTAAATTTTAGAAGTACCTTTTTCCACCGACTGTGTCAATGCTTCTTGAACGTGTTGGAATTTTTCTAGGATTTTAGTTTATGGATTACTTGGCAAATATGTTCTCTTGTAGTCTCACAGTTTTCTTGTGGAATAATCTTGCATTATTATTAGGATTTAGCTTGAAATGTTGAGATAAGTCTTTGCGCGTTAAGCTATCACATTGACATTTAGACTTTGCTGTAAGTTACCTTTTAGCTCCTTTTGGCTTGATATTTTGGTAAATAACCTTATTGTCATTATTACACTCATATTTGGGTAAGAAATTTAGCTTCAAATAATTTCTAAGTTTGTTAGGAAATGAAACTCTAAAACTTAATGTACTAGTGTCAAATACACTCTTTTCATCAAAAGAGGCTTTCTGGATCTGATCAAATTTTTCCTCAGAAAGCATCAGTTCTAAGGGTTATGTCATGGAATTACGCTCATTATGCTCAAGTTTTCTCTGCATCTCTTTCTCAAAAATTGTTGACAGGGAAGGAAGGGAGAGCAAAAATTTGAAGTCATTAAGCAATAGTCTAAAGACTATTGCAGATTGACTAATTCACTTAATTGAGGAGCTATATGAGCTTCTTTTTAAATAAATTTCAACATCACCACATAAATTTCCAGGGCTAGCTCTGGAAATTTGTGTCTTGGACTCTATCATTTTCATTTCATTAAAATATGATAATTTATCAGGCGAAGTCATGGTCTTATGTGGGCTAGGGGAGGTCTGGTAATCACCATACGGAGGAGCCGCCTCCTCAAATTCTCCTTGGTTGATAATATACAAATATTTCACTTTCTGTCCTCTATTTATACAGATACTGGTTTTGATGAAGGTGTACTTCCTCTATCAAAAAGGTGTAGTTTTCAATCATATCTTCGTCAAGTTCCTTAAAGAGGAAAACATGTTTCAAAAATTTAACTTTCTTGTCTATAATCTCTCTTTCCTTGATCTGGTTGATTTGATCAAATATTCTCTTCTGAATACTCTCATAATACAAAGGCTCTTTCTTCTTCAGTTCTATAGATCACAAGAAAAATTACGCTTTGAAAGACCAACTACTTTTAAAGGGCTAGAGTCCTGCCTTTGTATAGCAATTTTATGTAAACTTGATTTGATTTTCCCCACAAAAGTCTTATTTTTATTTAATCCCTAATAACTCTGGTGTGATTCCCAAGGAGGAACTTCCAAAGGATCTAAAAATGACGATTGACATTACTCGTCTATATCTTCTAAATCTGCGTTCAATTGGTTGTCTAAAATATTTGGTAATTATACAAATCTCTGTTATAATTCAAAAATTTCGGTTACCGTTTTGAGTCTCCATTTTAAATTCAATAATTAATACAGTAAATGGGGTTTTGGGGTTTTGGGGTTTTGGGG